GATCAGAAGTTTGATGCCGATCGAGGTGAAGTTGATGCCTGGATCATCCGGGGGAGGGTCGTCGATCCTTCTGACGGGCAAGTTGGGCGAAGTGATCAGAGAATCGGCCCAGATCGGCTTGAGCTTCTTGAAATCTAATGCGCGCAACTTGGGCCTGACCTCCGAAGATCATCAGGATCTCTTGGAGAAAAAATCTCTCCACTTGCATATGCCCGAAGGCTCGATCGGTAAAGAAGGCCCCTCCGCTGGAACGGCAATCTTGGTCGCTTATCTTTCTCTCTTCTCGAACTTTCGAATTCGCTCGGATTTAGGTTGGTAATTTCTTATCGGACCAACCTCTTTGTCCGATAAAGTAAATGAACTGATACCATTTTTATTTTTCATTTTTCATTTTTTTAAAATCCCTCAAATTTGGACTGGATGTTATTGTAGCTATGACGGGTGAGATGACTCTAGCGGGCCAAGTTTTACCAGTGGGAGGCTTAAAGGAGAAGATCTTAGCAGCCCATCGGGCGGGGATCAAGAAGATCTTAGTACCGGCGGCCAACAAGCCAGACATCGAACACAACGTGAGATCACCTTTTTTACTCAGTTAGTCTGTAGTGATGTTAATGGTTACTAAATTCCCATTTACCGGTTTTTTTTTTTGAAAAATTCTTAGGTTCCTGATTCAATCAAGGAGGGAATCGAGATTGTGTATGTGGAGGATGTTCGCGAAGTCATCAAACATGCATTCCATGGTCACCCTAAAATTTTGAATAACTTAGATAAATTAGGTAATTGGTTTCTCCCCTCTTATAATCTTTACAAGATTCCTTGACTGACTTGAAATTTGATGTTTTTCTTTTTTAGAAATGGTTGATTTGTCAAATTAGAACATCTTTTTTATTTCAAAACTTGTTGTTATCGTGTTCTTCTTCTGATGAGAGTTTTTCAATATATAAACATTTTTGCATTTTTTTGCTTAGTTTTGGAGTGGATGAGTGAATTTAAGTGACGGTTCAAATCCTGAGGCAAATTTCTTATTCAAGTGAGGTCAACAGATACAAACGTGTGCTTGAAGTTAAGCTTGAGGAAATTGATTTCTATTCGAAGTTTAATATGTAAATATGTAGAACAACGATAATATTTCCCAGCTTAATGATTTTTGAATCTCGGGTGTGATGATCTACGTAGCTCGATCATCCTCGATGTATGTGTTAGTGGAGATAAGTTTAAGGGGTGGTCACTCAAGATTGGTGTGAATTATGTATTTAAATAGTTTAAATAGTTCTGGGTCTGATTTTCAAATATGTAGATAAACATTTAAATAATAATTTGTTTTGAGGTGTTTGAGCCCACACGATTTTCTTGATCACTCAGTCACATATTAGCTAGAGACAAAGAGGTTCTTGTGAAACAGATTCTTCATGAGTCATACACATTCTATATATTGTAACAAAAGAAAAGAAACAGAAACTTCTTGAGCGTTCTGTGTTGTTGCACAGCTTGACCAGGATGGTTCAGGTTCATAAACATGTACCCTTCATACAATATTTGCCATCCAGCTGCAGGGTAAAAGTGTGTATTCCCATTCATACAGTGTTTTCTCGCTCGGTCCGACAGTCATATGTATGTTGTATGTATTGCCAGTTGGGTGTGAGTTGCTGAACGGACCAAATCAAAATCAAAAAAAATCAAAACTGTCACTTCAGTATTAAAGGGTAAAGTACATCATTTTATATGTAGGGCAAAAACCCAGACTTAAACCAATCAAAACTGTAGGCTGTGGAGCCCATCGACTTGGAACTTTCCTTCCTTCAGAAAAAACCCACTACGAGCACCAACCTCGCCCTTCAAGAAAACCACACCCTCCTTCTACTCCCTTCCTCACTCTCATCCTCACTACTCTCATCTGAACGATGGGCGCATTCTGTTGCAAACCAGAGGTAAATCAAAACAACTTGCTCTTCATCCTCACCCAGCGCTTACCCATCCATCCCTTATACTATTCCTCAGGAAATCGACTTCGATGGTCCTGTTGACCTCTGGCATTTCTATCTACTCAGATCGGTCGGTAAAGGTGCTTTCGGCAAGGTAAGCAGCAGATCAGAAGAAGAAGAAGCATGAAAACCAGACCACCCAATGCTGACTTGACTGACTTTTGACTGGTGTTTCAGGTCCGAGTGGTACAGCATAAACAAACCAAAGCACTCTACGCACTCAAATATATCAACAAGCAAAGAATCGTCGCACAACGAGCAGTATCAAATATCATCCAAGAGAGAAGACTACTCGAGGAGATCGACTCGCCCTTCGTCTGTAACTTGAGATACGCATTCCAAGACGATGAAAACCTGTTCATGGTCTTAGACCTCATGCTGGGTGGCGATCTTAGATTTCATTTGGATAGGGTCGGCCTCATGAAGGAGGAGGTCGTTCGGTTTTACGTCTGTGAGATGGCTCTAGCCCTCGATTACTTGCACTCCAAAGGGATCGTACATCGGTTAGTAATCAAGAATCCGCCCTCATCTCTCTCTCTCTCTCTCTCTTCTTCATAATCCTTCACTGATCCAATCTATTCTTATCTCCATCGATCTCTATCTGACGATCATCAACACAGTGACCTGAAACCTGACAACATCCTCTTAGACGAACGCGGACATGCACATCTGACCGATTTCAATATTGCCGTGCACTTCACCGAACGCAGAGCCCTAACCTCCGTAGCTGGCTCGATGGCCTACATGGCCCCCGAAATCCTTGCCAAGAAGGGCTACACATGTACCATCGATTGGTGGTCACTCGGTGTCGTGGCCTTCGAACTGTTATTTGGGAAGCGACCGTTCAGAGGCAAGACGAATAGCGCTCTGACAAATGCGATCACTCGTGATGAACCTCGATTTCCTGATACCCTGCCTCAGACTATCAGTCCAGACGCACTCAACTTCTTAGAAAAGATCCTACAACGTGATATTAATAAACGGATCGGATGCAAAGGATCTGGTGGAATGTCAAGGTTGAAGACTCATGATTGGTTTCGTGATGTGAATTGGGATCTGATGCAAGAATTGGGTGTCAAACCACCCTTTGAACCTGATGTAAGCTACTCTTCAATCGCTTGCTTATTGATTTCACTCACTGATATATGTGTTCACTCGGGGTTTCTACAGTCCAAGAAAGCGAACTTTGATGCGACACACGAGTTGGAAGAGTTATTACTAGAGGACAATCCACTGAAGGCAAAGAAGCGGAATCCGAACTTGAATATCGATTCGATGTCAGCCGATTTCAGATTGATGGAAGAGAACTTCTTAGTCTATGATCATGCGAAGATGTCCAGAAGGTCATGGTTTGTCGAACCCGGAGCAGAGACCAAGACGAGCGAAGTGACCCCGAGTACCTTCACTGCCTCCATGAGCATCGTCCCGGCTAAAATCCCAATCGATCAGCAACCTTTGGCCGAACTCAAAACCGACTCGCTCTCTCATGAACTACCTCCGACTTGATCCCTCGTCATCCCTTGTCAAAGAAGAAGAAGAAGAAGCAGATGAAAAAATTGAAGAAAGGAAAGAGTTAGAAGAAACTCTCAACTATAGGAATACCATCATCACCTCCAATACTCTCGGCCACTCTCTCGTCTCAGAACCTTAGACCCCCTCCCCCTCCTCCATTTCTTCTTTATTAGTCTTTATCAGTTTAGGAAGAATGTTACAGTAGAAGTTTTTTGTTTCAGTTCGCAACTCGCCAGGTCTTCCTTACTCGCGTCCTCTCCTCTTTCTACCGAGATCGGCTTTCACATTCTTTTTCTCTTCTTTCTACTCCTCTCTTTTTTCGTTCAAGGATCCTATCTTTTCCCTTTCCTGGATTGATTTCTTCTTAGATATGTGCTTCCGTCCTTAACGTACTCTAATCGGAAAAGAAGGAGGAAAATCTGCCATCACTGCTACTACTCGCTCCATACTTTCCTTCGTCAATCTCACCTCCTTGAATTAATAACCTTTTCTCCTCTCTTTCCCTCCCCTTCTTTTCAAGCACACTTTCCTCTCTCTCTCTCTCTCTCTCAATCTCTCTCTTTTTTGTTGCTGTCCAGTTATCTACCTACGATTACTACCACCACTACCATCACCACAAACAAACAAACAAAAAAACTTACAACTTATTTATTCTTACCATCATCATCTTGGAAACTTTTTTTTTCTTTCTTTTATACAACTCTCTCTTTGTTTATGATCTCCATTCATTTGTTTGTTTGCTTATGTATTTGACTTTTACACTCTCCTTATAACGACATCAATTGATCAAAGTCTCCAAAGGAAACACAAAAAAATCAAGGCAAAACCAAGGGAGGGAATCAGAGGAAGATGAAAAGAAACTGAAGATGAAAATGGATGTGCTAGTGATTAATCTTTGTTTAGTTTTATCCTCTCTTTTTCATTGAATACTAGTTTTTTGTTGGTTACTCTCATTCTTGTTTCTTTTTTTTTTCTTTGTCTTTCTCTCTCCTTCTCTCTCTCTCTCTCTCTCTCTTTTACATTTAAAGTTTGTTGTATACAGATTTTGTTCTTTCAGTTCAAGCGTTTTGTTTTAGGGTTTTTTTTCTTTTTCTTTTTGTGTTTTTGTTTGAACTTGTTTCTCTATGTTCTTCCTCCACATGTATAGTGAAGTCCGGCAAACCCAATACATATTCAAATTTTCTGAAAAAACAAACAACACCTCCTCCACCACCACCACATCCCCTTCCCTTCTTTTTGTTTCTTTCTTTCTGTGTTCCTCTCTCACTCATTTTGTTTTGGCTTGTTTTTTGTTTTGTTTTTGTGGGAAGGAAGGTGTCTTGGAAGATATAAGATGAAGGAACATGGATGTTGCAATACAATACAATACAACCATGGGTGAGTAGTTGTACATATTTATACATCTACATGAGGAATGCAGAATAAATACACACTTCTGCTTTGATTATCTGCCCTTCTTCTAGACCAACATGTCCTCCCAATATTGGTTCATTTTTTGTATTGTCCACATATAAAGATAACACAACCTGTGTTTCTGTTCATTGACCTGGAAACCTACTTGAATGACAGTCTTATTGACAATGATCATTTTCACATTTGTTTTTCTTATCGGCAAACTTTTGAGAGAAGTATTGCACGTAAAATAATATGTGGGTTTGATGGGCTAAAGTCAAAAATTGCTTGATTGATTTGTTACTTAATTGTGTAGTTGAGTTGGGACATACATACATACATACACATCTAATCAAATCCAATTTCCTCAATGATGAAGAAAATAGCTACATTCATCAGATAAACGTTTTTGTGTACCATTTGAGGACTTTTGATTGGTACTGCTGGCCCAGAAGAAATAAAGCTTAGACACCCTAAATCCACCTTTTTTTGGTGAAAAAAAAATGTAACGTTTTCAAATACCTTACCTTTTCAGTTGAAGCTTGTCATGTGTTGGTTATGGTCATGGTTGGGTTGATGGGTGGTGTTGATGTATGATTTAGAGTGAGTGGGTATCATCTAAATTAAGGACCTGTGAATGGCCATGTGAATTCCTTATGGATAAAGGCCTGATGGACTTTCAATCAGATTGTGACTATGAAATCTTGATCTGTTAGCTCAGATGGCAATGAGTAGTGTGTCTTGTCTTTAGGACATACAATGGAAACATTCAATTGGATAATGCCAAAAATATAAAACATAACTCAAGTAGATATTGTGTTCTTATTGTAAAAATACAAGCCTAGGAAACTCATCTTCAATCCTCAAGTGAGAAAGGAGCAGGAATCTCCCTCAGCTACAGCGCAAGGTAAGCATATTCATACCAAGCTTGGAGTCCCAAGTCCAGTAAAGATGGCCTTGAGGCTTGTGGTACCCGGGACGCATTGGCGGGTACCGCCTCATTGCTTCACTGCGGTACCTGGTGTCTGTTTTTGGCCAAGAACATGACTGGGACCCGGGTATCCTCACGGGTACCCCCTCAAGCCCCCCTATATAGCTCCAGCTACAGGACATATAGTCCATTATCAGTGGTAGCAGTTGGAAAC